GAAGTGAAGAAAGGAAGTCAAAAGGATTCATTGGGCTGAATGGAAATGGAAAGCTTACAGGATAGAGGGAGAAAAAATTGTGAACATGGGTTGCAAAGAATTCAGAAAAAGCACTATTTGAAGTTTGAGAGAATCACATATTAATTATGAAAGACATAAAAAAGAGTTTAGGATTAGCTACAGGAATATAACCCATTATTTAGGCAGAAAAAAGGCATGTTGAACCTTGTTAATTTCACAGCACATTGTTAAGGGAAATATTTTATTTTGTAGATTTAACAGTGTATATCATTGGGAAGTATTACATATATGCCATGAATTTTCAACCTGTTTCACAAAATTGTGCTTGTTCTAATTAGCTTCATCCCTCAAGTCTTATAACTTGTTGAAATACTTGATTTAAACAATAAAAGATCTTTTCTGCTGTGACCTTGAATATTCTATAGTGATCATGTTTGTTTTTCAAAATAATTTTAAATAGCTAGATTGTAAGAAAAAAAATTGGATGGTATATGGCTCATTTGTTAGGAGTATTAGTTGAGGTTATGAGCGTTAAATTTTGTATCAATAGAGTATAATAGTGGACTTCCCTCCTTCTCCAACTAGACCTGTAGATTTTTACCTCATCTTTGTAGTTGGTTTTTGGTACCAGTTCAAGCTGTAGGATAATGAGGACACAAGCATCAGAAAGTCATGCTAATTTTGTACTTATTCCTCTCCAAAAAGCCACATAAACAATTTGAAGATGAAAGAAAAGAACAAATATGTCTTCAGCCACTTTTAAATTCTATGTCCTAGAGAGCAATATAAAATGAAAAGTATTCTTCACTTCTGTTTAACTATTTACAGTCATCATCTATGAATCCAAAGCTTGCTGCACAGTGCATGCCACAGATAGCAACAAAACTAATTTTGAACAAGTTCTTTGGGATTTAAAGTGGTTGTTTTCAACTTCTGTTTAGAAGAGGGATATAATTATTATTTTGACATATAGAAAACACTCATCGATTAAAGTAAATTATAAATAATGATTAGTGCACTTATCACAGTAACAATATCAAGAAATAAGTTACAAGGATTTCTTTATTGAACATTGAATATCTAACCACTATCGTGAATAGAAGTAGCATGCATTAATCATTATTTTTGAGTGGCAATGAGATTGTGTATGCACTAGCTGAGTCAGACTTCGACCTATACTTCAGGTTTTAGGAAAAAATACTCATGGAAATTAGATGAATTTGTTGACTTTATATTCTTTACAATTATTAAATTATAGAGATACATGCATAACATTAATCTTCATAGGTGGTCGAAGAAATTTTGATCAGATTTTCTTTTGATTTTGTTAAAGTAATAGCTTAATTGAACTAAAATGAATATACTTCACCCTTTACAAAATTAAAATGTAAGATTTAGTCAGTGTATCATAGCACGTTGACAAAGATGTAAAACCATTACCTCAATGACATTTAAGTCATTGATTTTATTCCCCAGAAAAGACAGTCTACTTAGTAGTGCTTTCTTTAAGCTCCTCCCACCTGAAAATACAAAAATGCTCCTCTCTTTATGTTCATACATTTTCATATTTTGGGAATGATTTTTCTTTTTTATATTTAATTGTATTTTATATTGAAGAGTAAAAACATATTCAAAAACAAATTGAAAAAAGACAGAAACAGTGTAAGGTAGAACAATACATATGTTACAGTTTTTCAAAACAATTAATAATGGTCTTCATCTTCAAATATGTCACAGAGATTAACATATATCTCTATTCAAGATTGGGAAATAATTGAATATTGATGATTGCTTTTATGTATTTTTTCTATAATTTTATTGAGAAACAAATAGCAACGAGAGAGTTTCAAACCAAACTGGTAGGACAGTATAAATAATTAACACATTGCATATATTCTTCCTAGTGGTTAATTACTGTACAAGATTAAGACATGATATCTATTTACAAGCACTATAAGAACAAATCCCTCTATTCATTAAGAGAATGTAACTATATATGCATCCTAACCAATTTAATACACAGATACAAAATGGACATTCATCTGTATCCCCTTTTTAGTTTAGTTCTGCCATTTGAATATTATAGGTGTGTTAACTCAGCAAAATATTCCAAAATAGTCTAGCAGTCCATAATAGTATTGGGTCTTCCGCTTCACAGCAATGTCAGAAATTGTTGACCTGAGTCAACTAAGCTCAACATAACACCATGGGTTTATTTCTTATATTAGTTTTGTTACTTTTTTGTTGGATGATTAAGACCAAGGTGAAGCAGGACCTATGCAACAAGACTTGTAGCTTTTGGGTCTGAGAAGGTCAGTGAAATCCC